ACACGGTGAGCGATGCCACCGCGGGGCGAGGGCAGCCCCGCAGCAGAGCCTCCTCCCAGCAAAGGCAGGAGGAAGGGGACAGCCTGCGCCGGCCAGCCTGGCACCCACCTCCAGCATGCTCCGGAAGGGCACGGTGCCGTTGGGCGCAGCCACGGAGAAGCGCGGCAGCCGGAAGGGAGGGAGGCCCTGGGGGATGCTGCCGGTGAGCGTGAGCGGCTGGGGGCCCATCACCTGGAAGGAGGAGGGAACCAGGCCAGCAAACAGGACAGACCACGAGGGCATTGCGAGCTGCAGTGGAGAGACCAACCATAAAAACCTGCCCGGGGTGGTAGGAGGGATGGTGGAAGACGAGTACTCGGGTTGCTGAGGTCTTCTGAGCCTTAGGAAGGGCACGCTCGGCAACAGGACCACCCCTGGGACTTTGTCCTCCCTGACCCACCTCTGGGTCTCAGCTCCTGCTGAGCCAGGCTTTACCCATTTCAGGCTGCCCTGAAGAGACAAACCCCCAGGAGGGGTGGCCACGGGAGAGGAGAGGGCAGGGGATGGCCAACGCACCCGTGGTGGAGGTCCAGACGATCAGGTAGGTGACCCTGGCAGCCAGTGGCTCTGCAGGGGCAACTCGAGGCAGGTGGCTCTTCATCACCTGGAGCCCTGCCAGCGTGGCCAGGCAGACCAGCCCCAGGATGGCATCCCCAACCCTGCAACAGGCACATCAGAGCCAGCCCGAACACACCACGGGGCACAGGGAGAGGGACCCCAAAGCCCCGTGAGAGGAAGAGAGTGTGCCCGGGAGCATGAGCTCCCTCCTGGACTGTCAAAATTCAAAGACTTAAGACACAAACAGTCCCAAGGATGTGCCTCTGGGCTGGTAAAATCCTGGTGAACATAACTGAGAATGGAAAATAGGACAAGCATTGCCCATGCTTTCCCTTTAGCAGCTTCTAGCTCAAATGGAATTAGCTGAGAACAAGCACTTGTGTCACAGAGCTGGGAAGGGACCAAGAAATCAGCCCAAGGTGTGACCAAAGAGATGGGGAACGAAGCAGCAGAGCCTGAGCCCGAGCAGCAGCAGGGGGACACAGCAGGGCAGGTGCAGGGGTGGTGCTGACCTGGTCTCCCCGATCCTCCGCAGCATCTCATACAACTGCAGGAAGAACTGCCCAGGGATCCCCTGCAGCCCCAGGATGTTCTGCGTGGGAAGATGAAGCCTGGTGAAAGCACGGCACACGCCCTCTCCCCAGCCCACACCGTCCCCCTGCACCATGCCCCGGGCAGCAGCAGGGGCCCAGTGCCTTGGCAGTGCCCCCGCTGTGACCACAGCCATTAGCCAACACCAGCCGGCGGCTTCCTCGCAGAGCCTCACACCAGCTCCTGGAGTCTCTGATTTTGGTTAACCACAAAGGAAGCACTGCAGCCCCAGAAGAGCCCGAGGGCTCCAGGTCCAGCAATGGACCAGCGAAGCTGCAAACCCACCGTGCCAGAGTATCACCCAGCACCTCCTGCAAGTGACCGAATCAAAACCCAGGAGGTTTTACCAGTGTCCTGAATGCCACCAGCTGGTCCCATGCACAGAGTTCAGCTTGGTCTGCTCAGAGCAGAGCACCCAGGGACCCACCAGAACCACTGGCAGGGGGAATCTATGCCCACTTTGGAGCTCCTTCGTTTCACACCGAGCACATCACCCAGCCCAGGGCTAAATATCCCAGCCCTGCAGCACGGCTGACTCCAGCAGACAGCAGGCAAGGTGTCCAGAGAGGACTGGCAGACGCTACCTTGATCTGGTTGAAGCTGATGGTGATGGAAGCAGCTGATATAAACCCTTTAATGACTGGGCAGGAGATGAAGTCCAGAAGGAAACCTGCACAGGACGGGTGACAGTAAGCACGCTGCTGGTCCCACGGGGAGCACGGGGGGGTTGCATGCACACCGAGCTGTCACAAGCGCTGGCAGGACAACCCCAGTGTCTGGGAGAGCACAGGGGAGGGGAGGAACAACTGCAGGGTGTACAGCAATATCCTAAAAACACAACCATGCCCAGCGAGAGCATCTCACCGAGGTGCAGGATCCCCATGGCCAGCTGGATGCAGCCAGAGAGGAAGGCGAGCAGGATGGCATAGGCAGGCTCGTGGAATGCGTAAGAAGAGACAAGCAGTGACATGATGGCCGTGGGACCCAGCGTCACGTCCTTGGCAGTGCCCAGGAAGCAGTAGACAAAGCAGCCCATGAAGGACGAATAGAGGCCATACTGCACGGGAACAACAGGAGCGCTGGCGCAAGGCTGAGAGCCGGGAGC